GTACTGCAATACGGATAGGGGCATCTTCGGAACCAACCGTATAACTTTCCTTCGTGGAAATTTCGGACGACAGTTCCAGGCCACTCATATCCGGTACCCCGGCCAGCGCTGCCTTCAGGCTGGCTTCATCGGTGATCTCGGTAGAGATAATGCAGTTCATGGCTCCCTTGCTGCGCACATGTTGTACCAGTGCCCGGGTATCTACATCATGAATGGCCACAATGCCATTTTTCTGCAGGTAATGTTCCAGGTTGTCACTGGCCGTCATACGACTGTAGCGGTCCGAGATATTTTTACAGATAAGGCCGCGGATCTTTACGGAATCACTTTCCACATCTTCATCTTTCACACCGTAGTTTCCTACGTAGGCATTGTTCATGATCAATATCTGGCCGGTATAGGAAGGATCTGTAAAAACTTCCTGGTACCCTGTCATTCCTGTATTGAAGCAGAGCTCGCCCCCACTTGTTCCCGATGCGCCAAAAGATTTGCCCTTAAAAAAAGTGCCGTCTTCCAGTAGCAGGAAGGCGGGCTTTGGTAGATTGGTTTCAGCCGGCATAATTGCGCAAAAGTACAATCCAGTTCCCGCATTTTGGATTCACGGGGAGGGAATTTTTTAAAAAATCTCCGGGCAGATTTCTGCTAAATCCAAAATTACTTTTATCTTTCGCTGCCAAACTGGTTCTATGAAATCAATTATACTTTCGGTCTCCGCTTTATTTCTGTCTGTTGCATCCTTTGCACAATATGCCACACCACCGGATTATTTCCGTGAAGTTGGTCTTAATGTGGCAGTTGCTCCTTTCTCCAAGCCAAATATGACCAAGTATGCCGGGAGTAAAATGAACTTGCCGCTTACATATAGTGCGAATTTTCATTACAATTTTACCGAAAATTTTCAGGCCGGTCTTGACCTGGGCATGACCCGTTGGGAAGGCAGCAGCGAACAGCAACAAGTTGGTGCGTTCGGTACGCCGTCTGAAGTGCGCAAAACCACTTACCTGTTTGCCGATAAGGCCTGGAACCTGACGGCAAGGGCCAACTGGGTATTCCCTATGTATGATAGCTGGCGCATTAACCGCTCTAACTTTTATGTAGGTCTTGCTGCCGGCGCAGTATTCACGGTCAATGATGGCAGTGTTTCTTATGGTGCTATCAATGACCAGGCTGGCGAGCAGAACCGTTATGTCTCTCAATACAATTATGCATCGGGAACCGGTTTTGTAGTTGGTGGCCAGATCGGTTATAACTACTATTTCAGTAATCATGTAGGCTTTAATATTGAAGCGGCGCCACGTTATACCCACGTATATACATTAGATGCCCGCTATAACCGTGCAAACAGTGATTTTGAATTATGGTCTTACCCGGTAACGGTGGGGCTTAAGTTCCGTTTCTAAAATATGCTTTTTCCTTTTTTCTTTCCTGCCCTATAGTTCGCTATGCGGCAGGAACCATTTTATATAAACGATTCATGGATAACCTGATTGTCAAACGATCAACGATTAAAGGAGGTGGGAAAGGTGTCTTTACTGCTATTGATATCAAAGCCGGCGAGACGATCGAAGTCTGTGAGACGATGATCTTTGATGAAGCAGAAGCCCGTGTACTTATTGCATCAACGAAGCTTTGTAATTATGTGTACGCCCATGAAGATGGGAAGCGGGTGATCCTGGCATTGGGTAAAGGATCGTTGTACAATCATAAAAGCCCTTCGAATGCAGAGTATCTTTTTTATGCAAAAAAGGAGCAGATGTATATCGTTGCGGCAACCGATATTCCTAAAGGCAAGGAAATATTTATCAATTACGGTGGTAGCCAGCATGCACCGTATGTGATTGACTTTTATTGATCTCAACTGATCAATAAAAAAGAGCGCCCAGGCAGATTCGAACTGCCGGTCTAGCTTTTGCAGAGCTATGCCTTACCACTTGGCCATGGGCGCTGATAATATTGTCACTACTTTTTTTTCAAGACCATAAAAAAGCCCTGACGTATCACGGCAGGGCGCTTATAAAAGCTTGTATTATTACATACATGTTACCGCCGGTAAATAAGATACCGGGGAC